AGAGATGTCGGGCTAGTCGTGGTAGGGTCTGTTGGATTCACAGGATTTAAAAATCCCACGAAGCTGTAGGCCAACCTGACAGAGAGTTTGAGATCTATGGCATTGGAACCATGCAACTTCACAGGATTCTGAATCCGAAGTTGCAGCTAAATTTCACGGGATTGAGAATCCCATGAAGTTTGGTCGCATTGCTCCCGCCTGCGCCACGCTTTTTTGATTACCCGTTAATAATTTTTGCTAAACTTTACGGGATTCTCACTCCCGTGAAGTTTTCACAACTTGTTTAACATTTTCGACCCAGTTTCAGCCAGCTGGCTAAAACTAGATTAAAATACTAAATAAATCTTAAACAGGTTGATTTTTTAAAATAAAACTCGAAAAAAGTTGGTTTTAAAAATTTCGTCCACATAACAACCATAGAAATTAGTCGATCAAGTAAAAAAGAAATAATAAAGGGGGAAAACATACTAAATGAGGGCAGTTGATAGGCTACCCTAACTCATTCTAGGCAATGCTAGCATTTTTCAAAAATGCTACATCTCACTTGAGCAGTTTCATTCTGTCATTTGAGCGTCAAGTGAGAATGTAGGTTTTATTCTTTACTAGTGTGGGGCCCTTGCAAAGCACGGTTTTTTGCTACAGTATTCCCGCCGTTTTCAAATTCCCCCGTTTTGAATTTTTCTGGGCTGCTACAGTAACTCGCCTGCTACAGTACCATTCCCGAGCTGCTACAGTACCGATCTGCTACAGTGACCTTTAAAACCTCTCAGCTGCTACAATAATAACGCTACAGCAAAGCTACTGTAGTATTTACTGTAGCATGAACAGTGCTCTTTGTTTCTCCCTTTTGTATAAAGGAATAGATTCTGGTCTCAAATGAAAGAGAAACAGGTAAGCATATTTATTTATTTGTTTGTTTGTTTAATGTCATGGCAAAGTCACAAGCTCGAGATTTCTTTACTTATTTTAATTTGTTCCTTTCTTGTCCATCGCTTCGCGATCATGACAAAAATATAGATTAATTATAGATGTGGGGGATATAGATTAAATTTTAGATGGAAGCTAGTACTTAGCTTTCGGCTATATGATAACGAGATAATTACTCACTAATTGAATTTATTTTTTTAAAATTAAAGGATAACTTTGTTTGGTGCTGTATGAGAGAACAAACTTGAGTTGGTAACACCAAAATACGACTAACAAACACGACTATCATTGTCTCATATCTTGATATTTAAAACCTCAAGTATATGCATCAAGCTAAGGTGAGAAAATATCGGCATCTTTCAAGTAACGTGCCATAAAAGCAACCGTGAATGGCCTCCAAGCTGAAAAAAGAAAGATGTAACAAAAAACAATCAAAATTATAAATTCTTAATATTGAGATAAACGTTAAACTATGTATCAAAGTGACACCCCACCACTGTACCATTTATTCTAGTCACTTTTGACAAGGAAAGGGAAGCAAGCAATCACCAAACTACTCTGGAGGTGTATAAAAGACTACAACTTAATTATAATACAGACCACTTTTTAATAGATTTTACATATTGTACATGTTGCATACTCTCTCTCTTTTTACTAGTATTAATTAATATTAATATTAATCATGTGCTAAACACGGCCTATCATTTTGTTTTGCACATCTAAACAGAATTGGCCTTTCGTCCTTAATTTTGTTGTATTTTTTACCTTATCAAGTTTGAAACAACCAAATAAAGATACGATAAACACCGAATGATGTAACCACAATTAAAAATTGACAAAATTTTAGTCTATCAAGTTTGAAGCAACCAAATAACAAGATACAATTGCAACTAAAAATAATCGTAGCATGAACATTGCTAATAAGAGTCAAAATTTCACCCTAGTATGAGCAATCTTTTAAGGTTAAAACTTTTACCACAACATAAACAAGTTCATATTAGCATGAATAGTGATTTTAAATTTATGGTTTTAAGTTAAAAGTAGTAGATTATGAGTAAATTACAGTGAACCCCATGAACTTTCAACGTTTTGCAGTAAACCTCTATGAACTTTCAAAATTGATGCTAAACCCCCATCAACTTTTTTGTTTTGCAGAAACCTCTAATAAAATTGTGCATTTTGCAGATAAACCCCATAAATTAGAAATAGAAAACAACAAAAAAAACATCTTAAAAGTTATCGGGAGTTTCGTGTAATTTAGCCCAAAGATATTAGGGGTTTATCTAGAGTTTAGTGTGATTTTGAAAGTTCATAGGGATTTATTGCAAAACACTAAAAGTTCACGAGAGTTTAGTTTAATTACCCATTATTTCCCATTCCATGCTGCATTATTTTGCCAATCTTTTGGGGCTACAGGTTAACCTCTCCAAGTCATATCTCATGCGAGGAGGACTTTAGATAGATGATCTAACAACCTACATTTTTCCATGTCAATTGTCCATGGATTTCCTTACAACCTACTAGTTCAAATATCTTTATATAGAGATTTTGAACACTTTATTTTTAAAAAAGGCCTTGTGAAAGAAGTATCGATCATAAGTTCAAGGAGCGTCTCAGTATATAACATAATAAAAGAAAATCTTCTCTAAGCAGAGCAACCAATAAATGATATCACTATCTTTTAAAAGAAATTAAAAAGATATATCTGAAGTCACAAATCAAGAGTTTGGAATCATAACTAATTATGCCATAAAATATTTATGTATGATTCATGAAAAATAAATAAGAGTACTTTTTTTGACCCAAAATTTATGAGACCAATAATGAGATAAGGTGTCACATATCATTTTCTTGAAAATTTTTAACTGTGATCAGTGACTAGCATAAAAACACATTACTTATAATTTGATCCCATAATTTTGGATCCAAAATCTATTGCTCAATAAATAAAAACATAAACTCAAAAAACTCAAATTACATCTGTCCACTGAAGCTCACGTGACGATGATACAAATTGACCCATCCGCAATTATCGACCTAGTACTGGAACCCCGCACCAAAACGAGTCAAAATCCTAATGGTAGGTTCGAAAATACCTTCCAAAGCTAAGTCTCTTTATGCCCTCTATTTCTCCTTTAAAAATCAAAGCACAAGCTCTTCGGTCCATTTATTATTTGGAAAATGTAGGGGCACACTAGGTGTGCATTCGGTACGGATACGGCTCGGATATGATGCTTATCATATCCATATCCGCTTATCCATCTCGGATACGGATACATATATACTTCGGTAAGAAAAATTTATAACCATATCCGCTAAAGTCGGATACGGTTACGGATATACATGCGGATATATAAGCGGATATGCATGCAAATACAAAACAAATATGAGAAAACTAGATAGTATTAAGAAAAACGTAGTTCATGTGATACAAAAGAGTTTGTTAATATGTCCATTATAATTAAAAAGTTAAGATTAGACATCTTGATCATCAAAATTAAGTACAAATCCATAATCTAAGAATCAAAACTATCGTAATATTATGACTAATATGTATTCTGATATTTCAGACACAGATACGGATATTTCACTACAAAACCATATCAGTAACCATATCCTATCGGTTATAGATTTGAGTAACCATATTCGTATCCTAACGGATACGGTTATAGATATTTTCTCGGATACGGATACGGTTTAGTACCTCTAAGCACACACCAATCACAACTCTAACAACCATCTCTTTCTCTTGCTACAATGTACCGGGTCCTATATGAGATTTTAAATTTAAAATTTCATATAGCACCCGGTGCAATGTAACAAGAGAGAGTGTTAGGGGGTGTTTGTTTCAAATCCCAAAATTTATGGATATGGATTTCACCATAGAATTTGAAATCCATAAATTTTTTTGTGGGTTTTGGGATCTCTAAAATTTTGTTTGTTTCATCAATATTTTGGGATTTGGAATACCAAAATTTGTAATATTATGTTTGTTTCATCAATATTTTGGGATTTGGAATACCAAAATTTGTAATATTATGTTTGTTTCATCAATATTTTGGGATTTGGAATACTATAAATTATATATTATAATATTATATAATATCTTAATAACATATATTATATAATGTATATTATATATATGTAATATTATGTTTGTTTCATCAATATTTTGGGATTTGGAATACTATAAATTATATATTATAATATTATATAATATCTTAATAACATATATTATTATAATATTATATAATATTTTGGGATTTGGAATACTACAGCATGAACAGTGATTATTGGGTCCTCCTATATATATTATATATTATATATATAATATTATATATATATATATTATATATTATAGATATAATTTATATAATATATAATATAATATATATAATATATTATATATTATATAATATATATATTATATANTATATATATATATATAATGCTACAGTAATTTACTGCAGCATTTACTAAAGCATGAACAGTGATTCTTGGGTCCTCCTATAATTATAGAGGAATAGATGTATTATATTAAATATTATATTATTATAATATTATATATAATATATGAATCTTATATTATTAGCATTAATACATCAATATCCAACCTACATCCTCTCTCAATTGTAGAATTTCACAAATTCTAAAATATAATAGTTTTTTATTATTTGGGGATTCAATATCCCAAATTTGGTTGTGAAACAAACATGGTTTATGGAATTCTAAAACCCAAAAAACTTGTAATCCACCTTATATCCCAAAAAAAGGACAAAACAAAAGAGATGATTTCACAAATCCTAAAAATATATTATTTGTTTATAATTTAGGGATTTAATATCCCAAAATTAATTTTGAAACAAACAAAGTTTATGGAATCCCAAAACTCAAAAAGAGCACTTTTTACATCCTAAAACTTGAAATCCACCATATATCCCAAAAAAAAAAACAAAACAAACACCCCCTTATTGGATTTGTGGATGGGACGTGTCCCTAGCGCCACTCTTATTATTTTGACTCTCAGTGGCTATTCTTTCCCTCCTAGTAGCTTTGCCCAAAATTGGGGGGAAAAGTCTAGTTTTGCTAAAATCTGTTCAGCGATTTTTTAATCAGGTGGATACTTTCTCCTCAAAGTTATTTGTCTGTTTGATTTTTGGATGATTCTAGTCTAAATTGGTGCTCTCGACCTAGGGTTTCTCTTTTCTAAGTTGATTATAGTTTAAAATTTGGGAAATTTAGTCATTTATGGTTTCTTAGATTTCAGGTGGATTCTTTCTTGTGCGTGGATCAGGTATTTGATGATTTAGATATCTTTGTTTTATTTTTGGTTGAAAAGGTTGTATGTTTAAGCAGCAGCATATTAAAATCCAAGTAATTTCCTTATGTTCGTAAAATTAAAGTGCAAAGAGCTGATCTTGGATTCATACAAGTCACTATACCACCAATTTAATACTTACCTGCAAAGAGTTTGTTTTCTCTCTCTTTTCTGGGTCAGTAAAATAGCCAATTTCATGGATTCTAATGATCTAAGGATTTTTTTGTCTCCATAGAAAACTAATCTTCGACTGTATTTAGATGACATTTTAAGTATTCTCTTACATCAGGCAGAATGTTTTTTTTTGGATCAGTTTGTTGCTCCCTTTGTCGTTTGTAGTTAGCTAGGCTATTGATATATCTCCCTTTGTCGTTTGTAGTTAGCTAGGCTATTGATATATTGAGCTTTATTTTCTTTTGCATCTAGATTATTTCCCAATTTTATGCCTTTTTCATTCTCGTAAGTTAGATGCTAGATGTTAGCTGTTCTTTTGTACAGGAGTTTTGTAAATTGAATAAACATATATTCAATTTGTTGAATCATAATTGACTTGGATATATTTTATAACCATTTTCCTGTCCCCATTGCATTTAGTCTCTGTTTTCGTGTTAACTTTATTTATTTATTTTGATAATCTCTATGTATGAGTACTGAAATAAGGTTATGTTTTTATGACATTTGGGTCTAAGCACACCAGTTTTTGATTTTGGATGATCATTCTGATGTGCTAAAAGGGCTGATTTTAGTGTGATATGTTCAGCAATCTTCTGAAGGCTGAACCTTTGCTGTATTATGTTAGGCTCTTCTTTATATGCAAATTTACCTGCACGATCCTTTTATTTTGGACAGCAAGAAATGTCATTCTTTCTTTAGAATATGTGTAGTTTAGAGTTATGTTATCTCTTGGAAGGAATTCAAGACTTGTGTTCCCATCAGGATTGTCTCTCGTATGCTTAATTTTTTAAGTTTATTATTTATTTAGTTTCCTCTCTATTATCCTTCAGTGAGACACCAACATACTTTGATGTTTTTGGTTGATATTGTTATTGGTATTCTGGTCAAACTTTGTTAGGTTTGGTTTACATGCTGGCTAACTTCAGTCGTTATCCAATATGGAAGAAATCACTTAAAATATTTTCCTTTTAGGCTGACTCCAGTTGGAGATGATAAAGATTTGTTTATTCATTTTTTGTTGTGTCCAATTTTTATATTTTGCTTGCAGTTTGGCCTTCCTCAAAATGGACAATCTTTGGCAATTAGGAAATGAGTTTCGAAGCCATTCAAAGGTCACAGAAGACCATAAATGGCTTGCTGTGACTTCAAAACTGGCTGAGCTTACTGGAACCAACTGCGGGCTGACAAACAATTTGTATTACTCGAAGAATCCAGTGGAAGCAAAATCATGGGACAAGCTAGGATTTCAGGAAAATAACAAACTTGAAAGTCTTAATCTTGGTCTTGTGAATCTTGATCTGAAGATAAATGATGTTCCAGTTAAGGCCTCCTTCCGCAATACTATGAATAACATGAACACAGCGTATCAGAAAAGTAATATGAACAATTTCAACAATTCTAAAATGAATAATGGGATTGACAAGCATGCTAATATTAATAGCTCCAAAAATGTCAACAATAATAACTTTAACACCAATAGCAACAACAACAAGAACAACAACAATGTTGCTGATAAGAGGTTCAAGACATTGCCCTCAACGGAGATGCTGCCGAGGAATGAAGTCCTTGGAGGCTATATTTTTGTTTGTAACAATGACACCATGCAAGAGGATCTTAAGAGGCAGCTGTTTGGTAATCTCAGTAATCCTTCACTCTTTTATGCATATTTGTTGACATGAATTTTTTTCGTTCTGTTCTTCATATTTCAGTTTGAGTACAATTTTTTTTCTTGCTTTATATCTCTAATATATGCTAACGTAATGCATGCAGTATAATAGAGAAAATTTGGGCTCATTGGTCCCATATGATTTTATGAATAACATACATGTGTTATTGTGAGGCTCGAAGACTAGGTTCATTTTCATAACTTTAGTTACTCAAACAGGGTTGCAAGGCATTAATTCATGGAAATATTGTAGACGACATAGATCCCCTCCTCAGACAGGCTATGATGTATATTGGCAACTACTTTTCTGAAATGTTTGTACTGATGAATTTGTTGTCGTTTTCTCTAACAACAGAAAACAAGTCTAATGATTGTCTCCATTAAATGTTTTTGAAGGATCTTTTTCCGTTATATTGCTACATATAGAGATGCATTTTAATAGTTATGCTGCATCTTTTTCTTTATTATTTGGCTCTATCCATTACCTTCATATCATAACCATAACCTGATCTGTAATTTTTAATGCTTCATTGTTTTTTCATACTGCAAATAGCTTGGGAGAGTTTTGAGTTTAAGGCTCTATTTTGCAGGATAAGTTTTGCTGGTTATCCACCTGTTTATTAATCTTCTATTTCCAGATTCCGTACTTTCTTTTTTGTATTAAATAAATTGGGATGGCAATGCCTGTTCTATTCCCGTGTTAATGTAATAGTTAATTTAGTTAACTAGTAACTGCATTGTTCAGAACTTGGGTCTTCATTGGAGTATGGGGAGGTAAAGAGAAAGTCAACTTTCTTGCTGAAATGCTTCCTCCACTTATATGTATATAAGTATATTATATGTGTGGGTTAGAAAGCCTTTTGCGATAAAAGCAGGGTTGTCATTGATCTGGCCTATTCTTGTTACTAGCTGGGTTTTTAATGTTCTGCCTAAGCCAATAGGTTACTGGTTACTAATTGTGTGATTGTATTGCGTTTCTTGTTATATTCTGAGGGTAGCATAATACACAATGAACTTATAATTCTTGATTTGTAGGATTGCCTCCACGATATCGCGATTCTGTCCGGGCAATTACTCCAGGGTTACCTCTTTTCCTTTACAACTATACAACTCATCAGCTTCATGGGATATTTGAGGTTTATATGCATCTTTCTTCTGCTTTTTCATTTTTATTTAGTATCGTATTGACTTAACTTCATATACACTATCACTGAACAATTGGCCATTCATATCAGAACCACTTTGTCTATCTTTTGCTCTACAATTTTATAAAAATGCCTACAAACTAAATCTTAACTCCTTTCAGGGTCTATTGCCTTTTCATTCACTTCCTAACTTAAGGGTTTACATAAGTTAATAGATATACTGAGAACCATGGTCATTAAATAGGGATTGCCAGCTGATAATATCCACAAATTTATTTCAAGCTCTCCATTGTTGTATGGTTTCCTAAGGGAAGACTCCATCCCAGTTTGTCTGCTCATACATGTGGATTTTCCCTTTTTCGCGTGTGTTCTTCTTAGACGCTGTTAGATGGTTATTGATCTAAAAAACAAGTCTCTTAAATATTGTCCCGTAATACTAGTGGATGGCAGAGAATTGCTTGTATTAATTGCTAATTTTGAATTAAGTGGCATTCTCTTTACTTGACCTTGCTATTGTTCCTTTCAGGCTGCTAGTTTTGGAGGTTCTAACATTGATCCAACAGCTTGGGAAGATAAAAAATGTAAAGGCGAATCAAGGTTTCCTGCACAGGTAAGATTGTTACAAACTATATTTAACATACTTCTTTTTTTTATTTCCGGCCTTTGTGCTTAAGTTTTCCACTTGACCGACATTAGGTGAGGATCCGTGTTAAAAAGCTTTGCAAGCCTTTGGAAGAAGATGCTTTTAGGCCAGTCTTGCATCATTATGATGGCCCCAAATTTCGTCTTGAACTCTCTATTGCTGAGGTATCATATGCTTTTATTTGTTTTTTTATCATGCACAAGATTTTGGTTTTTCTTTCTGTTTCATAGCTATCTATCAGTATGCTATTTTCTGTGTTCATAAATTTCGTGTTCTTTAGTATTCTGTAATGGTTACTCTGAAAAGAAAATTACATGTGTTATCTTGAAGAAAAACATGATATGATAAATGTAAAAGTATCATTGGCAAATGATCACTGTGGAACGTTTACTGGTCAAGGGTCGTCTTTTCACTCAATGATGTATCAAAGTTCTTGCATTGATGCTTAAAGTAGATCAAGTTACTTTGTTCTTTATGCATCATGTTTCGCCTACCTGAAAACCTCAGCTATATGCGGACATAGTTACTACTAACATCATGTGACTTTTCATACTCTGAACAGCCTTGCTGATACTACACCTGTTGAATTTAACAAGCCCTTATCATCTTTGATATATCTCCTGTCTTTTTTTGTTTATTCTGTCTAATTTTTATATATTATGATCAACTTTTGGGAGTCTACAGCCCCAATTGAATGTTTACCTTACTCTCATCGCTGCTGTTTTGCTATCCCAGACCAAGTTATTATTTTATGTATTTTCACTTCTTGTGCTTCCACAACTGAAATCCACCAGACATTTGATATCTTCAAATGGTTTTCGTAAGATGCAACGTTATTTGTTTGATCATCATACACCTCAAGCACATTTATATTTGACTGACCAACTACTTTGTGCTGTTTGAAGAACACACTTGGACAAATTCACACCCTTAAAACAGACCATTCATTTTGTTAAAGTTGTTTCAATAGATTTGTTTCTTTTATGCTCTTTTTTATCTAATATTGGTGTTGGTGGGTATTATATTTTTGAAGAAATTATGTGTGTGTGTGTGTGGAGGGGGGGGGGGGGGGGGG